ATAAAAAATTCTATTTTTAAATAACTAATCAAATTTAAGAAATTAATTTTTTAATATTTAAAGAAGTTTTTATTAAGGTATAAATATAGGGATCTGCAAATTTAAAGAAGTTTTTATTAAGTTAGGGTCTGTTGAGCTTCTAAATAAAGTTGTAGTGGTTAGATTATCAAAATCGGCCTGGTGGATCCCAAGATAGTCCCAAGATATTTGGGGTTAAAGGCATGAACATAGAGATCTACAAATTGGTGATTACACAAAGTACTAATGACTATAATACTTTATGTAACCTCACACCTTTAACCCAAAATATCTTGAGATCTACCAGGCTGATTTTGATGATCTAACCACCATTAGAATTAAAAAAACCTCCTTTACAACTTTACTTAGAAGCCCAACTAACCTTAACTTAATAAAACTTTTTTAATTTTTAAAAAATTAATTTCTTAAATTTGATTAATTATTTAAAAATATATTTTTTGTATAATCCATAGTGGAAATAGCAATTCCCTATATATATTAGCATAATTAAAATAGCTAATCAGTATAAAATAATATTTAATTTTGGTCTATACTATACTGATTTGTTTATCTATACTATACTTTTTTTTTTCAACTTAGGCTGTCTTGCCAGTAATCCTTTATTATAATTATTGCATTACAGGTATGACACAATATTAAGTTTAATATTTAGGTCTGACATTCTACAGTTACTTCAAGTGCATTTACAAACAACTGGACTAAACTTCCATTAAAAGACCTTAGATAATTTAGATTAATGATCTAAGCTAAATAATTTAAGCCAACCCAAGAGCATTGTCAGACCACCATCCTACAATAAAATATCGCTAATCTGATGATATCTTCTCATAGAGAAATGAAAAAAATAAAAAAAAATCTACTAATACTAATACTAATCCTAAAAAGAGAAAAGAAAAAAGATGAAAACTAATACTAAAAAACAAATACAAAGATAAAAGGTAGGGTAAAAAAAAAAAGAAAATTTGATAATCACAATTATTGGCCTGTGTCAGGTTTTAAAAAATTACATATTACTAGATAAAGATGTTTTATAATATTCTCTATCCTAATAAACTATGCTTAAAGAGTAAAAAAAGTTAAAAAAGTTAGCTAAAACTAAACACTGTAGTCGATCTAGATAGAGTTAGCCCAAAATTTAAACCAGTAATCTCAAAGTATTGTTCAATAGTTTTTTTAATTCGAAACATATCCTTTTTGTATTGATATGATTCATATAGTTGCTTATTTCAGATATCTGCCTATTATTCCATTTTGGTAATCTTATTTATAGACTCTTATAATCAGATAAATAATACTGACAGGTTTGGAAAATTACTGTATATGTCATTCTTGAGAAGAAGATAAACTAAAATATTCACTTTTTGATAAAATTTTCTTGAAAAAAAAGTAGGTCAACAAAACTTTCCTAGTATTATTTTTTGTAAATTTTACAGTTGTATAGTGATATAAAGCTTGTAATACTTCTGATATTACCTTAGGTGTTCTGTATTTCCAAAATATCCTTCTAGTTTGAATGCCAAATAAAAATAAAGAAATCTACTAGCAAGAAACTTGACCTCTACCAAAACCAGTTCAAAGTAGACTGCATTTCGGTTTTACACTCTTGATATTTTGTCGACAACACATCTACTTCTGTAGAACCAAGTTTATTATTTACTTTACTATTTTCTATAACCCTGACCATAGTTCAGTTTTTTGACTAGATGATTGTCAGAAAGAGTTGTATGCAAAAAATAATAATGATTGCTTACCTATACTATACTGATCTGCTGTAATCCCAATAAATAACCTTCTAATTAGGTAATAGATATAACATTTAATATAGAACTTAATACTATAATAAGCAAACTATTTAAATAGACAACCAAATGTTGTATATGTAACTAGTTATACTCTCCAAATATGTATATAGTATGGTATTGTTGTATACTGTAAATGTTAAACTATAATCAAATAAAAAAAGCCAACCAAGAGGTCACTTTAACACCAAAAAAAAAAATACTACTTATTTAATTATTATTAGAAGTAAAGATTTTTTATAGTTATTAAATATTCTATAGAATGGAGGTTTGAGTCCTGTAGTTTATTAATCAGGGATGGTAAAATTGGAGGTCATTTGCCTTTTTTTCAAATGACCTAGGTCATTTCGGACTAAAATTCATAATAAATTTGGGGTCATTTGAGGTCATTTGAGGTCATTTGAAGGTCATTTGAAGGTCATTTACCATCCCTGTTATTAATGCTATATAACATGCTAAATTTTTAAGCTGTGTTAGCAATACACATGCACAGAAATCCATTTAAATGGAGAGTATGAGCTATTTACGTGCTCGCGACAGTAAGCATTATTGTTATTATTGTTAATATCCAATTTTATGAACAAGATGGTCATAATATGCTAATAATGTTATACGTAAGTCATAACGTCATAAGGTCATAGCCTATAATTAGTAAATACTTTTCAAATGCTTCTCTTGAAGCAGATATTATTTTCTATAAAAGTGGAAAGACACCAAGTAATCGGATGGCAAGAAAATATTTTAGACTGTATTTTTTTTTAAAAAAAATTATATTATTCCTTCCCAACAGGTCCTCATATGAACCGTATAAGAAGTCACCAATAAACGTTTTACATTTGAGAAAAACGTCGCTTTTGTTTTTTTAATTATCGTTGCGTGCTATTCAAAACTGACACAAAAAGTCACTAGACCACCTAACTTGAATTAAATAAAGAATTTGGTAATCTGATTGTTGATTATCATAGGTTTTGGGCGACATTGTTAAATATTTGGGTAATTAGGGTTTACCATATCTATATTTTTTGAAACATTTGACAATGACTAGTGGAAGCCATGTGACCCGTGATCCCGAATTTAGATTTAAATCGGGGAATTCTTTGACGTTAATGTTAAGTGCTCTTTGAGTGTACAACATATAATACACAGCTTGAAATTTATTTCACTTATACCAGAATCAACCTTTACAGAGAAAATGAGTGAAGTTGATGGTAAACATGATTTCGTTAACAGTGTGTTTTATTATGTACATTATTTTTTTTCACTTTGCATTTATGGTTACGTTTTCAGCGCCGAACGGTTCTGACCATTTCTCGCAGGATCAAGATGATCGCCACCGCGACGGACGACACCCAGACGATAGACATCGGGATGACAGAGATGACAGGGACGACAGAGATGACAGGGACGACAGAGATGACAGGGACGATAGGGACGACAGAGACGATAGGGATGATAGGGATGACAGGGATGATAGGGATGACAGGGATGACAGACATCATGACAATCGTCATAGGGACGACCGTCACGATGAACGACATGATCGTAGTCCAAGCCAGTCAAGATCAAGATCGTCTAATAGGTCTCGATCCCCCAGAGAAAGAAGGTACAACATAAAAATTTATTGAATCGTTTATTAAAATGTTTAATACATAATGAACGTTATATCTAATAAACATATTCAATAATAGCACTTCTGATAGACATTATAGTAGAGAAGCAGATGATATAAATCCTGGAAATAATTTGTTCGTTACAGGGCTATCTACTAGAACAGGAGATCGAGAATTAGAAGAGCTATTTGCAAAATATGGCAAGGTAGTTTAACTTTAATAGCGTTAGTGTTTTCTATTCATTTCATTTTACCAATTATTTATGGTTATATGTTCATAATAGGTTATAAAAGCCCAAATTATGTATGACCCTCACACTCGAGAGTCTCGTGGTTTTGGATTTGTAACGATGGAAACCACTGAAGAAGCTGATGCAGCAAGGCAAGGTATTCATGGTTCAGATATTAATGGTCGCTCTATAACTGTAGAAAAGGTAAATTTTAATTAAGAATTATGTTGATCACTTTCGCTATTATGAACAAGCTCTAATCGATGTCGATTATTTTTTTAAGGCCCGTCGCTCTAGAGCCAGAACCCCAACTCCTGGTCGTTATTACGGACCACCCAAACGTCGTGGTATGTACAAAAACGTATATATATATATATATTGTATGCTGATGCTTTTAATGCATTATTGATCTTATTATTTCAAATTACAGAACCTCGTCGAGTTGACAGATTTGATCCTAGATATGAGTATAGTAGACCCTATGATCGTTACGATAGACCACCAAGAGGTTATGGGCGTGAACCATATTATGATCGTGCATATGATAGACCATATTACGATAGGGGATATGAAAGGGGTTACGACCGCGCATACGACAGAGCATATGATCGAACTTACGATAGAGATCGTCGACCACCTCCACCGACCCGTTATGAACCCTACCCGCGGCCTCGTTCACCTTACTAACAGGATATTCTAGTTTGAAATTGTCGGAAAAAAAAAGATTTATTCTAGGAACCCGCCATTAGAAATATTCATTGTATAGCCTAATTGTTTCTAGTGATGTGGATGTGCTATCGTATTTGTTTTTTTTTTTTTCAATCGCGTCCCTCAGCTTTTTGTGGGCAACAAAATATCAACTACTTCCGTGTTCGGCCTTCTTTCAGCTTAGCAAAGTCAACACAAACAGGGTCAGCAGTTTTTTCGACCTGTGTACATCAACTGGCAACTAACTCAGCATTCAACAAACAATAAAACATCATATACCGACGCTTTCAGCTTTTTTTTTTCAGTTTCATCCTTTCACTACTTCCTATTTCGACACATCACTAAATCGATATTCACAGCAACGCCTGATTTGGTGTATAAAAGAAAAAAAAAATAACAAAAAAAAAAAACTAAACCAGACCAAACCAAAAAAAAAAAAAAAAAATAACAAAAAAAAACTTGTGTGTCCTTGATATACCCTTTTTTCCTATTTTCATATACAGGTAATTTGTTGTCTGTTAACTTCAATTCTCTAATTTTTGCTTCACAGCCAAGTTCAGGAAAATCGGTCAACTAAAAATATATAGTGATTATCCGTATTAACTAGTATTTTGATAATCCGATTTGCATACTTTATGAGCCCTATAGTATCATTTACACGATTTCTGAAATGAGTTTATGATTAAGGTAAGCATGGGTATTGTTTGTTACAGGTAAGTCTATCTGTTTCCTGATAGTGTCATTGATGATTCCACAGGTTTAGTCCAATTAAAACCTAGTAGCAGTGTTATTTTAAGTGTACAATGTGTTATCAGTTTATAACAATTTTTTTTGTGTTCAATAAAATACGACCTTGGCACCTGACGTGAAAATAATATTGTTTGTTATTGTTTCACAATAAAACAAAGTTGTCACGTTACTATGTTCAAATATTTTTAATTGTATGCCTAATTGGAATTTGCCAATACTGCCTTAATATATTTTAGTACATCATTTTTATAGCTATATATAGTATTTTTGATATTAGTATATACTGTAATTTATAAAAATAATTATATATAGTAGTAAATTTTTAAATGTAATTTATACAATATCAATCATAATTATATATATATATATAATAGAAATATGTAATTTCTTAATTATTTTTATAGGGAATTGCTACGTATCACCGGTGTACTAATGCGCAGAGGTGATAACTGATGCAGATTTATACGTACTTAATTAGGGTTATTTACTATTTTAGATAGGGTTTACATCTATTTCTGCGGGTTTCACTCTGTCTTCCAAATTTCTATTGGCTGGAACTATTTCACAAAATTTTGCAAGGAATTTTTTTGTTAGTACGAAAAGGAGATTAATGTGATTTTTCATAAAAGAACGATTGTTTTTAACATATGAGTGCGTGAGAGTGAAAACTTGTAAACCGATTTAATGAATTTAATGATTTACTATGATCGGTTTCCAGGTTTTCATTCTCACGTAATGTTCCTAGTTGGTAAATTGATTTTTCATATCATGTGATTAAATTTGTCGATTCGCCAATCAAACTAAAGAAGCCAACACGGATTAGCCCGACTAGACGGAATATCACGGAATTGAACTAGTTGATAATTAAATCGATTAGTTGGTTTAAAATTTTCTAAATCGATTAGTTGGAAAGTTGTTAACTAGTTGATTTTCAACTAAACGATTCGGATCACTACTCTCATGGACGAATTTCGAATAAGATCTACCAATCAGATAAATAAGTTGTGATTAGCGTGAATTTTTTTTTTTTTGGTGTTAAGGTGGGATCTTGCCCATGACTTTATTTATTAATAATACTTTCATTACATGCATTGCTACATTTCCGTATTACATATATCAAGTACACCAAGCTCAGACCCGGATCCTATTGGTAACCTATGCTCTGGCCGAAACCATTACTTGCACAATAGGTGTCCCCATCTGCTACCGGCCACCAATCCAATTATCTGCAATTCAAACCTACCAGAGTGGTCATCATTATCAACGCACTCACCTGGTATTTTACCACCTTTCACAAGTCTTATTTTGGTACACTTTCCTAAGACATCATTTTCTGCATCTCTTATACCACTTATACCTAAGCTCCCAAATTTGGTAGTTCCTTCTGGGATATAGTTTTGTAGCCTCAAGGGCTACTTTTAATCTTGATTATCTTCAGCTAGTCTGCCCAGGTAGTTTTACGAAAAGAAACTCATGCTGACCCAAGTTAGGCCTTGTCATTAACACTTGAATACATCTATGTACCCCTGTCCAAAATGGAAATGATCATTATTGTTTATATGATTTCGATATTTTTCAAAAAATACTGTCAATTACGACAATTAGTAATATGGTAGTGTTAGAGTAAGGGTAGGGTTTTAAAAGAAGAAACTATACTAAAATTTCACAAGTAATTTTTTTTACTAGAACGCAGAAGTTAGTTTCATAAGCAAAATTTTAGAATAAAGGCAATTTTTTTAAAAAAAAGAATTTTAATGTTATACACAGATTATTTGTATAAATTCAATGTAATAGACGCTGATTGAATAAAAAGCATAATTTTCAAATCAGGCGAGGGTTCATAGGACGACTTTCTTCTGATTGGCTGATGTAAATCAATTGCCCGGGTAACTTATTTATACACTTTAAAGTACTT